GTTGCGAAAGCTTATGCAAAGAAATTAAATAAGTTGCAGGCTATTAGAGTAGAGTAGAGTTGAGTAAGTGGTTTTTTTATTTTTATTTTATATATATATATATATATATATATATATATTTCATTTTCGTTTTATATATGTAAAATACACCACTGTAAATTTCTATTTTTGTATTTTGTTATTATTTATTTTAATAATTTTTTCTCTCTCTATTTTGATATTTTTCGGACGAAAATAAGTGTATACAAATTTATCAAAATATCTAAATTGTTTATTTAAGCACCAAAATTCCAAATTTTTTATTTTATCTTTCATGGTGAATAACTATAGATCATCACTTTTTTACATAATAAAAATATTACTTTTTTATATAAAATATATAGACATATAAAGTATTTCAACTTTACTAATATAAATAATATCAACAACATAAATAATATTTCTTGCCATATAATTGATTATGATGTATTATCTCTTTGTAAATGATTTAGTGGAGTAAAAATTTTATCATAAATCCTTCACATCAGCATGAAAGTTTTTCTTGGTGAGACTCGTTTAACTTTTCCTAACTTTCACACATCTATTATACCAAACACTCTTATACAGAAAACTTTCTTTCACTTCTACCATCTTTCTTTTTTCCTTCCCATCATTCTTTCAAAGTTTCACTACACTAAACACTCTAATAGTGTTGGTTTACAAATGAGAGGAAAGAGACATATAAATATAGTTAAAATAGTTGTTATTTTTTTTCTTCTCAAAATTGTCTTTATTATTGATCATTTTTCTGTATCCAACAAACTTATTAATACTACTATTAAAGAGTTTATAACAATCCGTTTTATGACACATGGCATATTTTGTACTAAAAGCATCTCCAACTATAAAGAATTTGCATTGTTTTTTCTTCCCATGCTAAAAACAACTTTTAGGTTCTTAAGAGCATCTTCAATAGGGGTTGTTTATAAGCAATCTCCTGTGCCACATCATTGCCACATCAGTTCTGGTCTATTTTGTGGGTTGCTTAAATTTTAGCAAATTATAAAGTGGACCGGAACTGATGTGACAATGATGTAGCATAGGGATTACTTATAAGCAACCCCCACTGGAGATGCTCTAATTTAATTTTAGTAGTCCACTCGTGCCGTCCTCTTTTTGCTCTTCCCTTTCATTTCCCAATGGCGTCTTTTTCTAGATAAAAATTTATTAATCTCCTTTTTTTAAAATTTCTTTTTTATTGTCCTAGTAGCTGTTGCTTTGGTCAAGAAACATTTTTTATATATATATAGAAAAACTCGTTCAACATTTGATATCATCGCACTTGTCTCTAATGCTAAAATAGAATAAGAAGAAATTCTTATTTTAAGAACCATCATTAGTTACGGTCTAATGATCTCAACAAGTTGTATACTTTTATTTGTTTTAAAAAACGAGTTTGTCTCTTAGGTGTTGCCACTTTCTGACAATTTCACAATTTGTCACTTTGATCATATAACATGCCATGTGGAAGCACCGAACTCATTGTTTTTATTGCTGACTAAGTCAAATAATCATACTAAAAAGAAAATAATACGAAGATTGAGCCTGAACTCAAATCGAGTTTAAATTCACATGGGAAACAATGAATAAGTACATGAATAACCTTAAATCTTTTGACATTTTCTTATTATTATTTTTTTCTTTTTTCTACATTAAATATTAAATATATTTTATATTTCTAAGACAATAAAAATATTTTTTTAATAACTTTTTTTTATAACGTAGTAAAAAATTGTAAAAAAAAATACAATAACACAACTTAATTCACGCATTAAAGTGAAGTTGTCCGTTAATGATATGCTCTAATAGGGTTTGACAAAAAAAAGGCTCGACTAGGATACGTAAAAGCTAGCCCAATCTGTCCCAAATTCAAAAACTTTGTGGATCTTTTATCCATCTAAAACGAGACGATCTGAGTTGATGGGGTTTGAAAAGGTTTCATCATATATATATATATATATACATTTTTTATATGTACACCTTTATTTTTTTTAAATAAAATTTCTAAAATATCTTTAATCATCTTTTTATTATTTTTAATTTTATATCTCCAATTTACTTCTTTTTTTTTCCACATACTTCATTCCTTCTCCTTTTAATTTTTACATACATTTTGTTTTCTCCCAATTTCTCACTTATTTCAGTACGTAGTTTTAGTTCTTTCAATTTTTATATTACTCTCTTTTCTTCTTTTCTCACCTTTTTCACTTTTTCACATACACTCATCGTAGTATTGGTGTGCAACAACACTATAAGTACGTGTGACTTTCTCGACAATTTTTGTGAGCTAGATGCACATTTTTTTTCTTCCAACACCTTCTTTCCTTTCACACTTTCAAAAATCTTAACATTAAATTTAATATTATAAAAAAGACATTCTAGAACACTAATTTCACTATTTTGGAGTAGTGAAATTTGTGTTCCAAAAAGTATTATTCGGAATTGTATTTTTTACGTACTTTCATAAAATACTTTTCATAATAGTAAATTTAATATTTCATAAAGTATTTTTTGGAAATATATATAGTAACACACTTTCGAAAATAAATTTATTATTTCATTGGAATTGTGTGAAATAACACTCTTGGAAAGTACTTTCCAGAATAGTAAACTTAATATTCCCAAAAGTACTTTTTAGAAGTGTGTTATTTTACATAATTTTGGAAAGTACTTTATGAAACACTAAATTTACTGTTTCATAAAGTACTTTCTAGAAATATGTTAAAAACACCATTCTAAAAAATATTTTCAAAAACACTAATTTTATTATTTCAAAAAATACTTTTTGGAACACTAAAATTATTTGATTTTTTTTTCTATGTGTAAATGGGAGGAAGTATTAGAAGAAAAAACGCATATTTGACTTAACACTTTTGATACTATCGAGAAAGTTACACGTGCTTTATAATGCTATCAAAAACTAGTTTTAAGTCACAAGTGCATGTGAAAACTAAAAAATGGGAAAGAGAGAATAATAGTGTGAAAACTAAAAGAAGAGGGAGAAGGGAGTGATGTAAAACTGAAATAATTAAAACTATCTACTAAAATAGGTGGAGAATGAAAAAAAGATAAATAGGTACATTTGAGAACTAAAAATAGAAGGAAAAGAGGTGCGTAAAAAAAAAAGTATTAAATTAAATATTGGGGAATAAAATTAAAAATTAAAAAAGAATATTTTAGAAATATTTTTTAAAAAAAATGAGATTTATATATCACGAACCATGAAAAGTGGATTAAAAATCTTGTTCAATCTTACTTAATCGCAATTTGATCCACAAAATAAAGTAAACAAAAATTGAGCAAACATGTTAAAAAAACAAGATTTGTTATACTTAAGTTTGTACTTTAGTTAGTGACATTTTAATTTTATAAATTTTGGAACTTAGCAAAAGTCATCATGTCATACAAATGAATGTTAATTTTTAATTAATATTACGAATAAAAAAAACTTATTTAAATATGATTTCTTAAAAATAAAACATTAAAATTGAGCTAGTAAAGATAATTTAACTCATCTGCTTAAGGGTATTTATTTAAGTATAATTAAAAGATTAAATAAATAGATTAAAAGCTTAATGTTTTATATTTATTTGTGTATTGTTAAATTATTTATCAAATTTGACATTTTATATATATATACACACGTGGTAAAGTGCTAATTGTGTTAATTTGAAATGGGTAGTTATATTGATATTTTATATGAGAAATAATTCAATATAAGTGGTAAAAAAACAGTTAAAAAATAATTGTATTTAAGTATCATGAGACGGGCTAACCTATCCTATTCCATTTTACAGATTAAATAACAAGTTGATCGATCAAACCAGGTCATAATAAAAGAAAATACATGTTAAATAAATATGGACAAATAATAATACAAAAATTTATTACACTAGCAACGTTTAAAGATTAAAATTAACTGATTTATAGTAATATTAATTAAATTTCCTTATTTCTTAGTAATATCACTGTACCGAAAAAAACTAACTAGACCAGAATATGCAACTGAGTTTGTTGCCTAAAACTCGGACTTTGTACCAAAGGATGACTACAAGAAGCATAGAAGAAATTAGATCAATAAAATTTTGGACAAATAATGGTATAATAAGAGGTGTTCATGTGTAGTTTGATTTAATTTTATTTTTTTAATAAATAAATAAAATAATTAAAGTCCAGACTCAAGTCTAATTGTTTTTGTTAAAAATTGAATAATTTTATTTTTGAATTCAACACATTAATTATTTATATCTAACTCTTTTATTAATTACCATATATTTTATTACTACTATTAACCTTCTTCCAAAAAAACAATGCTAAAATATATCGGTGGCAGTGAGACAAGAAACTTCCCTTAACATGCCTCATCAATATATTAACTTACGAAAACTTGTGCTACACGTGATTAAATTTTATTTGAGTTTAATTAAAACATACACTTATATAACTGACGACAGGTGTACTAAAGGTAGAAACTAATATGTTCTAAATTTCATAAATGACTTAGAGCCATGTAAATTATACATGTAAAAAAAATATTTATAAATTTTATGCTAACCGCTCAAAAGAGACAGACAATACCTTGGATTTATAGTTGACATGTGTAACTTTGAATAATTTATCATCAAAGTAAATAAACTATTAATTTATAATTAATTAGATGCTAGTATAAAATTTATTTACTATGTTATACAATTTTTTTTTAATATAACTGTAATACACTGATTATGGCAAGCAGTTTTTATTATTATTTATTTATAAAAATAATCCTGTAATTTTTAGGGAAGAAATTAGGGATTAAATAACTAAGTTATTTATTTTTTGTTTTTTTTAGCATAACTCAGTGCTTTTTTCATCCAAAAATTAATGATTAATCTCTTGCTATTTAAGGCATTGATATTTTTCAAACAGTATAAATATTAAGAATAAGGTGTATATTAATTAATAGCATGAATATTAATTATAGTAGTTCAAATAACATTGAAATAGTAAAATAAAAGCTTTAAATTAAACTAGAACTAAAAGAAAAAAGGTATAAAGTATAATAGGAGAAAAGAGTGAAAAATGGATTGGAGTTTGAAGCACATGGCTATTAGTCTTGGTCACGAGAAATGACATGAATGTGTATGCTGGACACTTCTGATCCCAGCAGACTAATTAACATCTCCCAAAATACACATAGCAACTCTACAATGGCAGAACAATTAATTTCCATATATATATATATATATATATGAAAATTATAAAAAAGAGTTAGTCGACAGCATGACTTACAGTGTTCCCAAAGGAAAAGCAGCCTCCAAATATTCGACGATAACACTTGCGTTTCAAAGAGTTTGTTCCTTGATCTTTGTTGAACTCGGTGGACGATGAATAATACACCAAGGAGCAAGAAGAAGAAGAAGATGAGGTTGACCAAGATGGTGACACATGATGAGACTTGACAAGCTTTGGCAAAATGCATGAGAATATATTGTTATTGGACTTGGGATTTCTTGGGTTTGCAGCGATGTGGGACTTATTGGGGCTTGGGAAATAGGAAGGTGGAGGTGTGAGGGGAGGGAGAGAGGTCTCTGACAAGGGGTGTTTGGGGGTTCCAGGTTGTGCCTCCCACGTGAAGGGTACTGCCACTGAAGTTTCTCCGTAGTAGAAGATCCTTGAGGAAGAGTTCAGGCTCGACCTTTCCTTCGCCAAAAGCCTTGAGAAGAACCTGTCATCTTTTGTTATTCTGAAAGACATTTTTGATGACTCATTCTCATTCTTCCCATTCTCACTCACCATTTTGGTCGATACACAACACAAGTTTCTGCTTCTCAACAGTGTGTGTGTCTGTCTATGTTAGCTTAAACTCAGATCTATATGCCTCACGAATCAAGATCCGAAAAAATAGTCAAAAGACAAGAAGCATGGACTCTATTTTCCACCACTTTGTATCTAGACTTTGGTCTTTGGATATATATATATATATATATATATATTTTATAACTATTCTTATTTTTATTTATAAAATTTGAATTAAAGATTTTATTTAAAAAAATTGAGTTTAATTTCACTCATTTTAACAATTTATTGGTTTGACATTGTCTTTATTTTTTTATTTTTAGATATAATTCACGTAATATCTTAAAATTAGTAATTAATAATTAATTTATGATTATAAAATATATTTTTTACTGATAAAATATCACTTTAATATTAAAAAAAATAAACCTGAATTAAGCATTATCTTCGATTTGCAGAACCCAACGCATGGAAAAAATAAATATGAAGTGGCCACGTTACTCAACATCATAAATTAATATATATAGGCTCGATCCTAGTTCTTATGGTTAGTCATAGCGGGGCTGGAAGGTGCTGCAGCAGGAGAAAGGAGAATAATAACAGAAAGAAGAGATAATTCAGAGAGAAAGCAAATACTTTTTCTATTCTTCCCTTTTTCCATACAGTAAAGTGCTATATATGCACGAATGGCAATTTGCCTTGCAGTACAATCATTAGCTAATAACAAAAGGATACTCTCAATCAATCCTTCCTAACGGAATTCTTCTTTGTGCGTGGGTCAGGGCACGTGGTCACATAATCCTCCAAATGCTGAGGTGGACGTCTCACCCTTCTTGCATGTGCCTCTGGTGCATTCAGTGCTTGCGTAGTAGTGCTCTCAGTGGGTTCAACAGCACTAGGACTTGTATTCCTTACATCCCCTCCAGGTTCAAGAAACACCTTGTCCTCAAGGTGAAACTGAGATTGCAAGATGGTCCAAGGTTCCCAAGTGGCCTCCTCAAGTGGTAAGCCCTGCCAGTGGACTAAGACAAGAACTGCAGGCGGACTAGAAGAATTATCCCATTTCCAATCGAGAATAGCAGCAGGTTCCAGTATGGGGTGATTGTCCTCAATTACCGGGGGTAAGGAGAGAGGAGGGGAGGGCAGGGGACCCTTATGCGGACGCAGGAGGCTAACGTGGAACACGTTATGTATTCGCGCGGAAGGGGGGAGCTCAACTTCATAAGCAACGGAACCAATTTTCCTCGAAATTTTGAAAGGTCCAAAGAATCGCTTCATAAGTTTGACAGAATGAGTCGCAGTGACAGAAGTTTGCCTGCGTGGACGCAAACGGATATAGACCCAGTCACCCACAGCAAAATGTAGCTCCCTGCGAGACTTGTCAGCCCATTTCTTCATTGTCTCTTGAGCTTTTTTAAGATTAGACTCCAGCTTGTGCAGTATTGCAGCACGGGTAGCAAGCTCAGATTGAACTGCAGCATTAGAAGTATCTTCAGGGAGAATGGGAGGCATAAGGGGTGGTTTGCGACCATAGAGCACTTCAAACGGAGAAAAACCAGTGGAAGCATTGACCGACGTATTGAAACTCCATTCGGCCCATGATAAGAACTTGCCCCAAAGAGAAGGTTTGTGGTGAACGAAACAACGAAGGTACTGCTGTAGAACCTTGTTTGCCACCTCAGTTTGACCATCGGTTTGAGGATGGTAGGCTGTGGAAAGACGAAGCTTGGTGCCACTTAACCGGAAAAGCTCTTGCCAGAACTGACTGAGGAAAATTGGGTCGCGATCAGAGATGAGACTGAGGGGGAGGCCGTGGTGTTTGCAAACAACATCAACAAATAACTGAGCCACTAAACCTGCTGAAAAGGATTTGGGCAACATGCCAAAATGGGCACCCTTGGAGAATCTGTCAACAACAACTAGTATAGTGGTAAAGCCCTTATAAGGAGGAAGGCCCACAACGAAATCGAGGGACAAGTCTTCCCAACAACGCGAGGGAGGAGGTATGGGTTGCAGTAGACCCGATGGCTTCTGCGTTGGTATCTTTGTTTGTTGACAGGGTTGACATTGCTCCACAAAGCGTTGGACATCCTTGCGAATACTGGGCCAATAGAAATTGGCAGAGAGCTTGCTAAGGGTGCGAGAGACCCCGGTATGGCCAGCCATGGGAGTAGAATGGAACTCATGGAGGAGGAGGGGAATGAGGGAGCAAGAAGACGGCAACCATGTTTTCCCTTTGTAGGTAATGAGGCCTTCACGAAGGGAAAAATGTGGGAAGTCAGAAGGTGCTGCAGAGATATTATCCCTCAATTCCTTGAATTCCACGTTATCTGCCAAGGAAGATTTCAAATCCTGCAAGAAATCAGAATGAGTGACAGATAAAACCAGCAATGAATCTGCACTATTGTCAAGGAAGGTTTCTCGCCGAGAAAGAGCATCAGCAGCCAAGTTGGATTTTCCTGGTTTATACTGAATCTCGAAATCAAAGCCCAATAATTTGAATAAGTACTGCTGCTGTTCTGGAGTGAGCACCGTCTGGGTGAGTAGCTCCTTAATAGAGCGTTGATCTGTCTGTATAATAAAATGACGACCAAGGAGATATTGGCGCCATTTCTGCACTGCAGAAGTAATTGCACATAACTCACGAATGTAGGTGGAGGAGTTGCGCAACTTCGGACAGAATTGTTTGCTGAAATAAGCAACCGGATGTCCATTCTGTGAAAGGACTGCACCCATACCTGCACCAGAAGCGTCAGTTTGAATAACAAATAATAAGTCAAATTTGGGAATTGCTAGAACAGGGGCAGCAATGAGGGCCGACTTAAGGCGATCAAAAGCCTCTTGTGCTTTATCAGTCCAAAGGAAACAATCCTTCTTCAAGAGGTCAGTAAGGGGATGGGCAATAGTAGAGTACCCCGAGACAAAACGCCTGTAAAACCCTGTAAGTCCCAAAAAACCCCGAAGGGATTTTAATGTGGAAGGACGGGGCCAAGTGCGAACAGAATCAAGCTTCTCCGGATCAGGTTCCACACCCTTGGCCGAGACTACATGACCCAAATATTGAATTGATTGGAGACCCACACAACACTTGCTGCCCTTGAGGCGAAAGTAGTGTGAGAGCAGTAACTGAAATGTAGTTTCCAGGTGGAGAACATGGTCTTGCAGAGTCGGACTATAGACCAAAATATCATCGAAAAAGACGATGATGAAACGACGGAGATGAGGCCGGAACATGTCATTCATTGTAGCCTGGAATGTGGAGGGAGCATTACACAACCCGAAAGGCATGACCCGAAATTCGAAATGGCCGTTATGGGTTCGAAATGCAGTCTTTTCGGAGTCATGAGGTCTCATCAAAATCTGGTGAAAACCGGAGAAGAGGTCCAGCTTTGAAAACCAAGAAGCATGGCCCAACTCATCAATAAGTTCATCAACTGTTGGGATAGGGAATTTATCTTTCACAGTCACCGTATTGAGGGCCCTATAATCGACGCAAAAGCGCCATGTTCCATCCTTCTTTTTGACCAAGAGGACGGGAGATGAATAGGGACTGGTACTGGGTTTGATAAAACCGGAGTCTAACATTTTCTTCACTTGCGACTCAATTTCCTGCTTCTGAAAATGTGGGTATCGATAGGGCCGTACAGAAATAGGAGCAGTATTGGGTTGTAATGTGATGGAGTGGTCAGTGGGCCGAGGAGGGGGAAGGGAGGTTGGGGCGGTGAAAAGGGAAGCATACTTGTGGATGAGGGATTGTAATGGTGGCTGGGAAGAGGAAGGGAGAAGGGTAGCAGTGGTGGGTGGGGGTGGTTCAGTATGGAGGGGGGAGGGTGAAAAGTCTAAAGAGAGTTGGAAAAGGGCTTCGACTCGATTAGTGGTTTGTAATCGGCGAAGCTGGTGGGCTGTTATAGGTGAAGGATTTGGGCCGCTGTCCCCCTGTAATTCAACCATATTCCCTTGCCACATGAACCTCATGAAGGGCCCGTTATAATCCATCACAAAAGGGCTGACCATGGAGAGCCAATGAGCTCCCAAAACTACATCTGTACCTGATAATTCCAAAGGGTACAGATCCACCGAGAATTGTTGCTGGTCTATGGAGAGTTGAACTTGTGGACAAAAGGAAGAGCAAGGTAGGAATTCTCCATTTCCCACCATGACTCGTAATGGGCTCAGTGTGGGCTTGGAGCATAGATGAAGGAATTGGGCAACCCTGCTCTGGATGAAATTGTGTGTTGCACCACTATCCACAAGGATTTGGACCGCATAACCCTGGATGGATCCGGTGACCCGAAACGTGCGTGGGGTCCAGTGACCAGAAAAAGCGTGTAAACTGATCAACCCAGCCTCTTGTTGGACCTCGTCGGTGACTGGATCCTCATCAGTGGCCGTAAATTCACTCTGTTCCTCAGAATCAAAGGTGGTGAGAAGGAGGAATTGGGGTTTGCAACGATGGCCTCTAGTGTATCGTTCATCGCAATTAAAACAGAGGTTCTTGTCCCTCCGAGCTTGCATCTCAGCTTCAGTAAGACGTTTAATAGGCAGCCGGGTTGGTGGTGTAGGGAGAAGAGGGGGAAGTTGTTTGAGGGGGGTAGGTGAAGAGGGCGGTGGAGAGGGTGGGGAAGGAAGGTGAGTACGGCCAAAACGGTTAGGGGTGAGCTGTGAGGATCGGTACTTATCATCATGGAGTTTAGCCAAGGCTATGGCACTGGGAAGATCCGGTGGCTGCTGAGCGGTGACCTCGCGGCGGAGGTTAGGGCGTAGACCGGAGAGAAAACAGCTGAGATAGAAACTCTGTGGAAAGTCGGAGATTCTGTTGGCCAAAGTCTCGAACTCCGAAAGATAATCGAGGAGGCTGTTCGTTTGAGTGAGCTTACAAAGGGAAGCAATGGGATCGTCAAATTTGGAGGGGGCAAAGCGGAGCTCTAGGGCCCGCAGGAATG